TGTTCCCTCTCTCGCCGTGTCTCTCTCTGTCAAATAAATAAATAAAATCTTAAAAAAAAAAAAAGAAGTGACTTGAAGGCAAAGGCCTGAATGAAGTGAAGGGGTTCTAGGCGGAGGGAAGCCCAGGACCCTTTGCAAGGACACACTCATCTGCAGTCTGTGCCCTCAATGGCAGCCTTCCCTGGGGCTTTTCTCCTCTCTCTGTGCTCCCTGCCCAGAGTGCTATCTTCTACCCCTAGAAACTCAATGCCTACTTGCACACCTGTGCCTCCCAGGCGTCCTCCTCCCGCCTGATATACTACTGGTAGCCAGCAAGCCAGTGCCGAGAACGTGCCAGGCCCTCCCACCAGTCCTGAGGTAGATACGAACATTATCCTTCTCCTACAGATGAGAAAGCAGGCACAAAGAGCCTAAGAAATTCACCCAAAGTCACACAGCGAGGGAATGGAGGAACTAGGATTTGACCACCTCCACCCTCAACTCACCACATCCAAGCTGAAATGCATCATCTTCCCTAGTCCCTAGCCTCTCCTCTTCCCTTGTACCCTGCCACTGGCCTGTCACCTCCTTCCCGCTGCACCACACTGACTGAGGGAACTACAGTGGTGCCATGGTGGGGGGAGAAGTCAGTGGGGCCTGGGATCTGAGCCCCTCTGGTTTCCTTAAGCCCTAACCTGATCCCTGCCCTCCACCCCCATCCCACAGGCCTGGATGATTCCATTGAAGATCAAAGCTAGAGACAGAGGAAGGAGAAGCAGCCAGTTCCTCTCCCCCTGGGCATATCTGTCACCCCTGGAAAAGTCAGCTGGGCTGGTGTATGTCCCTGGACAAAGGACAGGCAGGGCTGGGGAAGACGGAGCTCCTTCTCCATACCCTACCCTGCCAGGATGCCTAAGATGGGGGTTGTGATAGGGGCCTGCCCTGGGGACTGCGCTGCCAGGTTTTCTGCTTCCAAGTTCTTCCCGGCTCCCCCTCTCCTGCTGCTTCGGGGAAGTGCCCCCCCCCAACCCTGCTGCCTTTCCAGATCCTTGAATAAATAATTCAGGTTTTGAAATCTTTCCAGGCCCACCCCTCCCGTGCTGGGAGGGCGCTATCGGGCTAACATGAGTGACGTCACCCAGCTCCTTATCCCAGCCCCAGCATCACGAGGACCTGCCCTGGCAGCACCTCACCTGCCTGGTCACCGTCAGTCCAGACCCTCTACCCTCTCCCTCTCACCCTGGGGCTCATTCACCACAGTCCCCCGGTATCTTCATGCCAGGACCTTACAACCCTCTTCGCTTTGTTTTGTCTGCTCAGTACCTCAGCACTTGTGACAGGGTCATTGTGACCTGAAGTCCTATCATCTGGACACTCCATCTTCCCTTTCCCTTGCCACCGCCTCTGCCACCCTGGGATCCCTGAGCCCCATCACGTCACAGTCACCCTGACACTGCCAAAGTTGCCCTGGGGGCTTCCCTTTCTATGGCAGCGTCCCATGGCCACCATCCCCCAAGATCCTGTCACCATGCTCATACTGTCACTGCCACCCACTTCCCTGCTCCCTCGTGCTGCTGTCACCATCACCTCCGAGCCCCATCATCTTGGCAGCCCCCGTCATCCTCACCGAGGACGCCCATTCAGCCTCATCACTCGGTCTCCGTCACCCGAATTCCGTCCGTCTCTGCCACCTGAGGGTCCCATCACCCCCACAGCCTTTCCGGGGCCCCTTTCTGCTTGCCCTTACACATTCCCCGAAACCTCCCTAAGACTTCTCCAAGGCTCTCCCACCGGCGCCCCCCGAAACCCCGGCCCGCAGAGGGCGCCGCGTCAAGGACAGCGCGGGCCGAGTGAGGAGGGGGCGGGGCCGCGGCCACGGTCGCTTTTTATGAATGGGGGAGCGGGCGGTGCGAGGCCTCATTACTATGCCTCGCGACGCGCGCTGCGCCCCGGCGCGACGCACCCATTGGCCGGCCGGGCCGCTGACGTCACCGAACCGGGGGCCGGGGGCGGGGCGGGGTGACTCACGCTGCTGCTCCCGCGGCCGCGGGGGCTTCTCGGGGTCCGCGCAAACCCTGCGCTGCCCGGACCCGAGCAGAGCCTCCCCGCGGCCCGGCCGCACCAGGTCCCGAGAGGTGAGTAGTGGGCCCCGCCGCAGGCACCAGGCATCCGGAAGGGCACGCAGGATGCTGGGGCGCGGGGCCGGCGGACAGGCTTCCAGCGGCCGGCAAAGGTCGGAGGTCGAGACCCGGAACCCAGAATCTGGGTTAGCAGGCGGGGACCCAGGGTCCGGGTGCTGACAGCCGTCAGCTGGGTGACCCCGCGTGGGGTGCTCTCTCCTCCAAGGCCCAAGGCCCTCTGAGATTGGTCCTCTGAGATTGGGCTGGCAGGAGTCATCTGAGGCAGGGACCCAGGTGTCCGAGCAGGAGGAGGTGGCTGACTTAGGGATCCAGACATACGGGCAGGATGCGAGGTCAGGCCCAAGATCCAGGTGTCCAAGCAGAAGGAGGGGTTGGACTCAGAGATCCAGGCCTCCAGCAGAGGGTGTCTGTTCCAAAGACCCAGAGGTTCAGGCCGAAAGAGGCGTTTGGCGAGGACAGAAGTCTGGGCCCGTGTGTGCTGGGGTGGGGCAGAGTTCCTAGGTGGTGTTACCCTGGGAGTGCAGGGTGGGGGCTGGCGGGAGCTTCACGCGCATTCTCTGGGGGCGGAGCCTCGGGCTGGCAATACGGAGAATCGTGAGGGGTCTGGCAAGCCTCAGAAACTGAGCGTCATCCTCCCCGATGGGGAGGGAGCAGAGCTACCCTCAGTCTAGAGATGTGTTTCCCTTCCCCAGTCCTGGGCCTACCCGGCTTCTCATGGATCCTAGGGAACCCCCATCCACTTATGGTAGTCCTTCATCTGGTTCTCCGCAGGTCACACACGTGGGAGAAAGAGCCCTGTGGGACCCAGGGAGTTGGAAGGGAGAGTGGAGAGACCCAGGACAGCTATAGGAAAATAGGCCCCTGCTGGCGTGGGGGTGTGGGGGGCAGGGGGAGACAAAGGTATCCTGGAAGGAGCCCTTGGAGCATGATTGGGGGACAAGGCACTGGGACCCAGCCAGGTATCACAAGGAGACACTCAGAATGTATCCTGAGGGGCACCTCCTCCCATCCAGACCCCTTCACCCAGCACCCAGCCCTGCCAACTTCTCACAGGGCTTTTCTCCTACAGGTACCATGATGTGGGGTGCAGGCAGCCCCCTGGCTTGGCTCTCCGCTGGCTCAGGCAACGTGAATGTGAGCGGCGCGGGCTCAGCAGAAGGGCCTACAGGCCCAGCCGCACCACTGCCCTCACCCAGGGCCTGGGATGTGGTGCTGTGCATCTCAGGCACTCTGGTGAGCTGTGAGAACGCGCTGGTGGTGGCCATCATCGTGGGCACTCCCACCTTCCGTGCCCCCATGTTCCTGCTGGTGGGCAGTCTGGCTGTGGCCGACCTGCTGGCAGGCCTGGGCCTGGTCCTGCACTTTGCTGCTGTGTTCTGCATCGGCTCGGCGGAGATGAGCCTGGTGCTGGTTGGCGTGCTGGCCACGGCCTTTACTGCCAGTGTGGGCGGCCTGCTGGCCATCACCGTCGATCGCTACCTGTCTCTGTACAACGCCCTCACCTACTATTCAGAGACAACAGTGACTCGGACCTATGTGATGCTGGCCCTAGTGTGGGGGGGCGCACTGGGCCTGGGGCTGCTGCCTGTGCTGGCCTGGAACTGTCTGGATGCCCGGGCCACATGCGGCGTGGTATATCCACTCTCCAAGAACCATCTGGTGGTCCTGGCCATTGCCTTCTTCATGGTGTTTGGCGTCATGTTGCAGCTCTATGCCCAGATCTGCCGCATCGTCTGCCGCCATGCCCAGCAGATTGCCCTCCAGCGGCATCTGCTGCCCGCCTCCCACTACGTGGCCACCCGAAAGGGCATTGCCACCCTGGCTGTGGTGCTTGGCGCCTTTGCCGCCTGTTGGCTGCCCTTCACTGTCTACTGCCTGCTGGGGGATGCCCGCTCCCCACCCCTCTACACCTATCTCACCCTGCTCCCTGCGACCTATAACTCCATGATCAACCCCATCATCTACGCCTTCCGCAACCAGGACGTGCAGAAGGTGCTGTGGGCCATTTGCTGTTGTTGCTCCTCTTCCAAGATCCCCTTCCGGTCCCGTTCCCCCAGTGATGTCTAGTCATACGCTGGTGACCCTTCAGCCCTGATCGCTACAGAATTCCAGAATGTTAGGCCCTCCAGGGCTTTGTCCCAACCCACCCCCCCAGCTCCACACCCCCCAAGACCCAGCTGGTTCTGGAGTTCTAGGACATTGGATATTTCACAGGATTCTGTCCAGATCCCTACAGGGCCCAGCTGGCTCCACGGTTCTAGAATGTTCAGGTGGCTGAGGTTCCACTCAGAAATGTCCCAGAGCCCAGCTGGCTTGGAGTTCCAGAATGCTGCTGGGTGATTTACAGTGCCATTCCAAGTCCCTAATCTCCCCCTCCCCCTCGACCTTAATCATGTCACTGTACTTTTGGGTTTCTGAGCTAAAGAGTCAGAGAGGTTAGTCACTCAGTTGCCTAGATAGGAGAAAGAAAGAAAAATGTATCTATATATATGTGCACATAGAAAAAGAGTATCTATTTATAATTTATTTATTTACTTATTTATTTATGGGCGGTAAGGGGAAGAGACCCACACCTTGAAATCCAGGCCATACCAGGGTACCCCCAGTCCCCACACCCCCATTGCTGACCTCAGTTCTTAGAGGGGGGAAAGGGAGAAAGAGAAACCACGTATTTTGTTATTATTTTTGCTTATTTTTTATCGAAGAGATCATAGAAACCAGAGCCTTCTCCCCGGGCCCGCCCCTCTCGGGTTTGCTGGGAGAACACACCAGCCTCTGGTTTTTTATTTTTTTAAGAAGCCATCACCTGAGCAACCGAGAATTCCTCTGCGCTGGGGGCCGGCTGCCCTCTGGTGGCCGTTTGGGGGAAACTGCAGCCCAGCCAGGCAGCCGGGACCAGACGCTGCTCCACCCCAACTCCACTCCAGCCTGGCATCCAGCGCCACAGCCAGGACCTGGGGGCCAGGCCCCACCCTGCGGTGCCCTAGAGGAGGCAGGGTGTGAGCCAACACCTGACCCCTCTGCCAACCGGGGCATGGCCTCCAGTGCGTCCCTATTCCGATCCCTGACCCATCGCTCAATAAAAAAAAAACGATTTTGTGATAAGTATGTTTCTGTCTCAATGTGTGGAGGGGGTGGAGGGGGCCTGATGTGGGGGGAGCCTGGAATGGGAGGGAATTAGGTCAGGCCTGGGAGCCTGTTGAGGGATCTGGGAAAGCTAGAGACCCAGGGTGGAGTGTGGCTGGCAGGCCAACCTAATGGGCCCCTCTGCTCAGACCCGGGCACTTCCAGGCAAGGACCCCAACTTTTTTTTTTTTTTTAAGATTTTATTTATTTACTTGTCAGAGAGGGAGAGAGAGAGCACAACCAGGGTGAGCGGGAGGCAGAGGGAGAAGCAGGCTCCCCGCTGAGCAATGGGCCCTGATGTGGGACTCGATCCCAGGACCCTGGGATCATGACCCGAGCTGAAGGCAGACTCTTAACTGACTGAGCCACCCAGGCGTCCCAAGGACCCCACGTTATCCTGAGGACAGAAATCAGGGTGCTAGACCCTTCTCAGGTTGAGAATGTCCACGTGCGCTTTTGTCTGGAGCTTTGGCACGAAGTATATGCTCGAAGCATTTCCACTTCCTTAATAACAGCCCCTTCTTTTTTTTTTTTTTAAAGATTTTATTTATTTATTTGAGAGAGAGAGCACATGAGCGGTGGGAGGGTCAGAGGGAGAAGCAGACTCCCCGCCGAGCAGGGAGCCCGATGCGG